AGTTCCTTCTGATACTTCAGTAGATGGCACTCTGCTCTAAGGCTGAACTGACCCGCTCTACCCTTGTGGTGCTAGATGGGGTATCTTGGAATTTTTCCATGTTCCTTTCTTCCATGTTTCCATGGCAAAATATGATATACTGCCACTTATWATTATACTTAGATCACTGTTATTAGAAACTGTCATGAAGGAGTCAGTGCTGAGTACAGCCAACTGATTGGAGGATGGTAACGAGAGCATCAAATACCCTGGTGGGGAGATTGTTGTAGCTTAGGAAAATCACTGCTGGAAGGTACAAAAAACAAGGCTTRCACTCAAGGCTTATATTAACATGCTAATACCTTTGCTCTTATTATATCGAGTTGCAGACAAAGCAGCAAAAGATGAACAAGGCAGAATGCAACAGCCTGTAAAACATTAAATACTCCCATGGCTGAACAGTTTTCAAGAAGCAGATGCACTCACCAGTGATGAGTGATGTAGGTAAGGAGGGATTTTATTTAAAGGGTAAATTGGTCTGTCYGGCAAATCTAAGAGCTGACATCAGCTGCCATGGATAAAGTTGGGAATAACTGCACATCTGAGAAGAGGCAAAGGCCTCTACTGAACAGTGCAAAGCACAACAATAACACTGTGATCTCCCACAGAATTTACAGTTTTTTTAATGCAAAACCCAGTATGATCTTGGGGAAGGTCGAAGCAGAGCAAGGCGCTACTTGTTCTTGTCAATTGACCTGTTGTCAGGAATAACATCCAGGATGTAGGGATGTATAAAAAGGACACAGAATGCAAAATGGTAGAGTTAAGGAGACAGCTGAATAGCTGTTCTYCCCCAAAGAAAATGGAAGGAATAAAGTTATGTTGTTTGTTTTCCTAAGTGTCACTTTCTTGTAAGTAGGGAAAATCATTTTCCATTTATGTATCATCAGATGAAGGGAAATACAGCCCAGCTTTCTTTAATGCTTGCTTTGGGGAATCTGCTGGAATTCTTTTTTTTTTCTCCTGCATTTCACTGTTAAGATACAGCAAAGGTAGAGAGCTTTGGCAGGAGCTTATTCATGGGCTCTATAAATATACAGGAAAAACTTCATGAGACATTTTGAAAGAAATATGGAAGATGATTRGTATTAATTAATGACACTGTTTTGAAATGTTTGAACTAAAGCTTTCTTACTGCAGCATCAGTTGTAATTTACAGCTTCTTTGCTTCTTTTGACCTGTTCTCCTCACTTGCGAAGCACTGTATCCTTCATATGCTCTGCGCCTTTTCAAAGAATTAGATTGTGCCCATTATTTAGTCACTTGTTGTCTTATTCCATCTCCTGAGTCTCCACAATGCAGTCATAAATCATTCCATTTAGAGACCATTCATCCTAACACACTGGAAGGGAGCAAACATGCCTGTTGCCAAACTCATCCACTACTTTACTCAGCCTATTGTTCCTAAGTGTTGCACAGACTGTGACAGGTTTGTCTGAATGTGTAACACATTGACAGGCCAATCCATATTTGTGTGGCCCACTCACAGTCTCTCTCTTCTCTTTCATTAAGAAGAAATCTGGGAAGATTATCAGATTACTGGGGGAAAAATGAGTGCTTACAATGTGTCACTTACTGTTTTAYAGCAATAGCACAGGCTGTACTTGGCAATTTCACAGGCTAGAGAGGAAATAACAGTGTACAGGGAAAATCACAGTGCCTTCAAGTGGTTGAGCAGAGCACGGGTCAGAATTCTTGCTAAGATTAGAGCAAACTGTACTACTGCATGTAATACAGTATTATTACAGTAAAACTGTAATACATGCATGTATTTCTCACTAGYGATCTTCCCAGAAAACAAGACTATCTCCAGGTTATGGAGATATCTCCAGGTTATGGCTGCTCTGGCACCTAGTGTTTGTAATATACCTGAGTAACCAGTGACTCTGAATCTATGGAGCCTATAGAATCTAGATGGCTTTAGGGATGTGCATGCCCTGTGTAGGCTTCAATACAATGCAATATTCAGTCCTTAGCTCATGTAAAACAATTGCAAATATTAAAYTTACTACCCACTGGTATTAGGACACTGAGTAAAGGCAAGTGCAGCTGCTTCCAATTCAGTTTTGGGGATCAAGGTGCCTTCACTTGTTAAACAGTATGTAAATCAGAAAACTCCCAAGAAAATCTTGATCAACCAAAACAATAAAGTCATTTTAGAAAATCTTTACATAGAGCTACAACAAGTCTATCGGTCATTTTAGTACTCATCAAGATACATCGTGGACAGAGCACAGGAAAACAAGATGCATTCTTATTAAAAACAGTAAGTCAGATTCTTTGCTTGACCACTTAGCTGGAGTCATTTTTGGACGATCTTTACTGCTGTTGTGAAAACTATCTTCTAGACAGCTTTAGCCCACTCATTTTGCAAATAAAGAAACAAAAGCAAGACTTTAGCAGAGTGGGTCCCACACCTAATTTACTCATAAAATACCAATGTAAAAAGCAAATCCTTTTTTTCAACATGCTTAATAAGCATTGCAAAACTAAAGTGGGGAAAAAAAGATGATAGAAAGGATAGCAAAGCTTAGTAGTGTAAATAGCTGAGCATGATTTCTTCCTCACAAAGTATGAAACAAAGAGAACACAACACCTGATTTAATTCACTGTCTGCTGTTACTGAAAGGTAACTATCACTCATTGACTTCATGGACTAGCATGACAATACTAAGAGTCACCTTTCAAAAGTGCCCATTACTCTTGAAAATTTCTATTCTGACAGTATGTAAAACGTCCTCGTAATATAACTTACGGCTATCATTCATCTCGATAGGAAGTTTGAGTTTTCTGAATAAAACAGATTTGGTAAGTCATAAATTTCAATACCAGAAAGGACCACTATGATAATCTAGTCTGCCTTGCTTGCATTTTCCAGGAGAACTTTGGTAAACATTTCTTGCATGGAGCCTATAACTTACAGCTCAGGTACACTACAATCACAGTAACACATCAGTCTTGATTTAACATTTGGGTAACTGTAAATGTAGCACATTACAGAAAAAAGCGATTCACAGGTATCTCTAGTTTCAGTCTTGATTTGTATTTGTTTCACTTCTGCCTCTTACAATTAGACTTTGTTATGAACTTGTAACTCCGTTGGCCACGGACAGGCCCTGGAGGAGCCAGGATTCCTGGGCGRGCAGGCAGAGAGAGGCAGGGCCCACGCGGCAGAAGGGAGCGTCAGGGCTTTTGAAAGATGGGGGCCTTGGGGGCCACTGGCAGCCCTGGCAGCCCCACAGCACCCGCYGCCTGTACGTCCCCATGAAGGCACTTCCTCTCCCATCAAGTACAGGATTTTGTCTTTATGTTTTCGCTTCTCTATAGCAGCCCTGGGTTGCACGCTTGGTCACGCTGGTGAGCGTTACTGTTGCAGGCCATAGCAGACACATCCTCCTCCTCCTCCACTGCCTCGCTGTTTTCATCCTGCACAGCTATTGCTGCTTCTCTGGAGTCCGCTCAAAACAGCTTCCTTTTCTTCCTGTCTTTCAGCGAGTTGTTTATTTTGTGGCCTCTGYTTTCATCCTAGTCCCATGTTGTTAGTGCCCTTGCTGTTGTCCCACAGTTAAACTCCATTTCTTAACCAGAGAACCCTGTCACCAGGCTGCACTTCCCRGAGCAGCTGCTCACAACAGGCTTGGAACAAGCCCCGCAGGCCAGGACGGAGGCCTTGCAAGGCCAGCGTGAGCATTTGGATAAACTAAGCACTTAATAGGATTTAAACAGCCCTATGTAAAGGTATTCTAAGTCTTTGATCATTTCTTTAAGTCTTCTTGGAGTTTTCTCCAATTTTTCAACATTTTTCTAATGTAGGGGTGTTGGAATTGAGAACATTCTGGCAACTAYCCCATTAATGCTGGCATAGTAGTACAATATCTGAAGACTTTGCTTGGTAGTTTTTGTTTATTCTGTATTTCATGGCAGAAAATGAAGCTCATTTCGCTGGCTGTGTTGCATGTCCTTCTATTCATTTACTTTATCACTCATTTCTAAAATGCAGTCCCATACTCACTGTGTCCTAAGGTGTCCCTTCCTGTGTCACCCTCAACTGCATTAATATACGTGTTGTACAATGGAGGCTACCATATCATAAGATCACGTTAACCACCCTWCCAGGCTTTATCATCACTCACCAATTCATTTACATTTTGTCACTTTAAGACTTTACTGGAATTTATTTTATATCCTGTTTCGGATTATTGCTAAAGATATGGAGGAACTCTGGACCAAGAACTGCACAGGCTCCTTCATTCATGTCCCTTTTGATGGGATAGTTGTGCTGAAAGTTGTGCTGAAAGATTTACACTTCAGTCCTACAAAACACGGGAGAACTGCACTAAAGGATGGGATTGGGTCATATACCTGAACATTTAAATGCTTTCTTATGGTAAAAAAATACATTTTTTTTTCTCTTGGCTATAACTTCATGAAGCAAAAGATGTAAGAAGTAACATACAGTATTTATTATTTCTGAATGTATTTTAAAGAACACATTAAATCTGTGTTTACATACATGTGCATGTGTAGGTAAATTGACAAAGTATATAAAGCCTATATGTAGGTCAAGAAATATCTGATACTTGGGTTTGCCCTCACTCTAGAGCTGCTGGCAATATGCAGATATATGTGGAGACCACCAGGTATTTCTCAATACCTGCCTACTTTTCTAGCTAAAAGCTAATTTTAAAAAGAAGTTTTTATTTTTTTTCCTAGCTGACAGCTGTCAACTCTGTGATTTGGTTTTAGCCCGGCTGCTGCCCCCCGGGAACGGCGCTTCCCGCCCCGCGAACGGGGATTCCCCTCCCGCTGTGCCATCTTCCCGGCGCTTCCCGCCCCGCGAACGGGGATTCCTCTCCCGCCGTGCCGTCTTCCCGGCGCTCCCGCTGCCGTCCCGCCCTTGCCGGCCATGGCGCAGGGCGGAGCTGGCGGGGGCGGCCCCGGAAGCGCCGCGAGCTGCCGCCATGGAGGGCTCCGGCGACGAGGAGGCGGCGGCCGAGGAGCCGCTGCAGCTGCTGGCGAGGCGGCAGCGCAGGGAGCGGCGGGCGCTGCAGGGTGAGGCGATGGCGGCGGCGCCGCTTCCCGGCCCCGCCGTGGGCGCTGGAGGCGGCAGGCGCCGTCCCTGCCCGCGCCGTGCGCGGCCGCGCTCCTTGCGCCGCGTGCCCCGCGCCGTTACCGCCTCCTCTTTAACCCTCTGCGCCTCGCAGCGCCGAGACCCGTGTCGGGCTGSGCGGCTAGCCGGTGAAAGAGGCCGCCTGTCGCCGGTGGAGGGTTAAAGAAGGGGGGAAGGTGCCCGCGCGCCGCCCCAGAGCTGTGGGTGCCGCTAGCGAGGYGCGCTCCCCTCCCGCCATTGAAGTGAGGGCCGGGAGCCAAGGCTTGAGGGCGGGAGCACCCGCTGTGCCCATGAGGAAAGGCCTAGGGGGAGGTGGGATTCGCCTGGAAGGGGAAAAGGGAGCCCCTGGGTTTGTGTTGTGGCGCTAAGGAAGGGGAGATGCGGGAGACGCGACCAGGTAGGGCCTGGTTGGGAGAGGGAAGCACCCTGCAGGAATTGCCACCCAAAAAGGAGCTCCCAAGAAGCACTCCCACTGGGAACAAAACCCTTTTTTGTCATAATAATTAAATAACATGGGTCTCAGCCCCTGAACACCCAKCATGTTCTGCACCTGAGGATCCTGTCCATCCTCTGCACTGTCGGTGCTCTCCCAGTGTGTTTAAGTGTGTGTGCATTAGGACCTTGCATAGATTTTGTTCTCACTTTCAGTTTTTGATGAGCAAAATTGCTTCAATCTCCTTCACAGTACAAAATTTTTCCTCTTATATTCAGAGAAATAGTTCTGTGCTTCAGTTTGTGCTCGTGTCCTGTCACGATATGATGTCCTGTCATCATATTTCTCTGGGAAGAGAGGGTGGAAGGATGGAAGAGAGAGCCTTTCATATATTGGTGCATGCTAAGAAGATCCTTCCCAAGCTTGGTTTCCTCCAGGCTGAACAGACTCTGTTCTCTGCCTTTCTTCATATGAGAGATGATCCAGTCCCTTCGTCATCCAAGAAGCCCTATGGATTTCCTTCATACCCTAAATCCATGTCTCTCTCTGATATGAGGAGGCAGCCTCACACCTTAACTGTTGCACTATATTAATGTCGAGCTTTTTGAGTGTTCTGTGACTTGCAATCCTTGTTCCCGAAATGATTATGGAATATCTAATCTTCAGAGCTAATGTCTTACTGCGCTACTTCTTTAACAGCTAAAATTCAAGGCATGAAAAATGCAGTTCCCAAGAATGACAAAAAGAGACGAAAACAGCTGGCTGATGAAGTTGCCAAACTGGAGGCAGAGCTTGAGCAGAAGCACAAGGAGGAACTGAAGCAGCTGAAGGAAGCTTCACCTGAGCAGAATAAGGTGCGTGCTTTAACTTGAGCTGCAGTTGTACAGGTACAACTTGTAGTAGGGATTCTTTAACTTACCTTTAAAATCTGAAATTATTTGTATCATATGCTTGAATGCAAGTCCTATTTGTGCAAGTGAGCCCGTTCAGATGCTTCCTCTGCCTAAATTAATTAATGGCAGTACAATTGCCTGTGAATCATGGTGCTGCTGCACGCTTGGACATCTGCTTCAGTGTTTCCCTAGCAGTGTGTGTCCTTCAGCTTTAAATATTTTAAAGAAACAAATGAATTCTTCTTGATTGAGAAGTGCCTGTAACGTATCCTTGTGGCAAGCTTTGGGTCGCAAGGGCAATGTCCCTGTAAAAGTCTAAACTTTTAAAATTTTTAGGCAAATGCTTAAGCAGATAATCAAGACCTAAGTAATTAGCACATAAGTATTAAGCATAATGCTTATTTGTAAAAGCATAGATTAGTTTCAAGTGTTATTTCATTTAAATAAGTTTTTTTTTTCTTTCCATTAAAGGTGTGGTTTTTTCCCCGTTATATCAGATGACTTTTACTGAGGCCCTTTCAAGCTAGAATCCCTGCTTAGGGCATAGGTTTCCCTGAGAGGATTTAGGTTTGAGATGTCTGTGTTTTTTATTTCTTATTTTTAATTTTGTACTGAAATTATATCCATATCTCTTTGGAAGACATCTGATTAATACCATGATAAGGAGGCTAGATTTGACATTCTCCCTGAACTGCCAGCYGTCCCTTACAACTGCTTGTGATTCTTTGGTGTGGCAGGTCGAGCCTTCTGCTCTCGTTGATAATAAGTGATTGATTGAGAACTTGATAACAGCTATTTAGGGGCTTTGGCTTAACAGGTCAACTAAGCTGTGTTCAAATGTCAATGTGAAACCTCTAAGGCAACATGAATTAAGTTTGCGGTGTGTATRTTATCTAGTCTCAACAATGACAGAATTGTTATAAAAAGTAACCAAGTGTGGTGCTGGAGTGGGATGCGAGGTGCTTTATTTTGACTTTTAGAGTACTGTGCCACACAGGTTATTGTAGATAATGTTATATGGTGAAATTACCTGGAAATTACCTGGAAATATAGCTTAAAACTGCTTAGGAGGTGCACATATTGGGTGCTATTACTTAAAATATTAACTTTTTCTTTTTTTTTTTTTTTTAGCTAGATTCTGTGGCTGATGGGGTTGCAAACTTAGACCTTGAAGGACAAGAGCAACATGTTCAGCAGCCTCGCATATCAAAAGCGCAGAAGAGACGGGTATGACTTAACCTTTAAACATTTTACTTAAAGTGAGTTCTCCAAAGAAGGGTTGGTAATTCTGTGCCAAGAAYATACTTTCTAAAATTTAATTGGAGTTGCGTTCATCTGATGTTAATTGTAAGAGCTGAATTAAGACTCTTTCAGGAGATACTACCCGGCTATTGATGTCTTGTCTACCAGGTTTTTTGAAAATCTATAGGACTACTCCCTACAGATGTGTAGGCATCTTTAAATATCTGCACTTGTTTACATCCAGTCTTTAGCTGGGAAGCAGAATTGTTCAGGAGATGGGAAGCAGGAAAACAAAATCTCCAAATCATTCTGAAGGAATTTTACTCTGATGTCATTGAAGCTATTAATAAAAGAATTAATTGAAATAAAATTGCTTAAAATAGTGCATGGCAAGTAAGTAATAAAACTTTACAAGTCCATGAGCTCATCAATGCAGTTCTTCATGGCAGATCTCATACTCGTTTTGAAAGAGTAATATTTTATCTCTTGTTTAATTAGAATTCCCTTTCTTGTGACTTAACTATTTATGTGGTTTGCCAAAGTGTTGAAATTCCTAGGTTATTCTGAACAAATTAGTACAGTTAATAGCCTCTTTATGAGTATTGTAAAGTGTTACTTCTGCGTGTTGAAATAATTAAGAGTTCTTCTATCACGTGATTTTGGGTGTGGAGTCTGAGACACCTGGGATTCATTGATCGTTTCCATTTCCTAAGACTTGAGTGAAGGAGTTTGGATTTGCAGTTAGGTGGTCCTGATTGGGAAGAGCATTCACAAACATGAATGAATTTTCATGAACGTGAAACCGAAGAATCAGAAGCAAGCACTAAGCTAAGACATCTTCTAATTTTAGCATTGAATGTGGCGCTTAGTTTAACAGCGGACATGAGTCTGGCCAGTAATTGAGTGTGTTTTTTAAATCTAAGGAAAAAAAAGCAGCCTTGGAGAAGGAAAGAGAAGAAAGGATAGCTGAAGCTGAGATAGCAAATTTAACTGGTGCGAGGCATCTGGAAAGTCAGAAACTTGCCTCCCTGTTGGCAACAAGACACCTGGAGATTAAGCAGATCCCATCAGATGGTCACTGCATGTACAGAGCTATTGAAGACCAGCTCAAGGATCATCAGCGTTCCTGGACTGTTGCAACTCTCAGGAACCAAACAGCAAAGTATATGCAAAGTCACTTGGAGGATTTCCTGCCATTTTTAACAAACCCCAGCACAGGAGAAATGTATAGCAAAGGTAAAGGTTGTAGCATAAGAGATTTTTAAAAACTCTTTTTAACTGATTGTGATCATGGTTAGGTTTCTCAGTTACAACTGAGATGAGGTTAGTCCATTCCAGTATGTTTATTACTCAGCTTTTTTACAGTTTGGTTCTACTGTTTTCTATGGAAGACAGAAATGTGATTTGATGTGTAATTTGGTATTTCCTTTAAGAAGGGAGAATATTTTTGTACCTGGATTGCTTGGTTACTATATGGAARTTGTCTTCTGGGATGGGATTTAAATTTTAAACAGTTTATCTACTAGGTTAAGGATGATTTTATTAACTTTAGTATCAATGTTTTTTTTCTTTGACATAGGAATGTTATTGAAAAGTAGTATAAGAATTAAATTCAAGCAAATCTATTCTATAGTAGCTTTCACAGATGCTTGTTCCTATTCTCCACTTTTTCAGTGTTTACCTTAGGCATTTTGCAGCCTTTCTTTAGAAAGAGATTAAACTGGAAAACAAAGTTTAGTGTAGARCAGTGCTGTAGGCTGAGCAAACGCRGCTAAATGGAACTTAGGCACTACTTGAGCAGTGAACTGTTCGTTCCTTTCTTTCTGTGTATCAGGAGCACCATGCAAGTTGYTTTATCTCCTTAACTTATTGCTGGCCTCATTTAATATTAATTGCTGTAGATTTCATTGGGTGACTGGGTGCTGTCACGCAGTCTTTTCCATGTTGACAGGGATAATTGCCACGAGATGAATATGCTCCAGGTGAAGACTGGCTGAAGTTCTGCAGAGCAGGAGGGAGTCATAGGCGTTTTATGTCTCRGGCTGCTTTAGGGAGAATGTGAAGAGCAGTTCTAAGCAGAATCTACTCRTAGGGTTCTGTAGCCTGAAGTGCTGTGACTCATCAGTGAATTTGTTTGAAAGTCTTCTATATAATATCTTCTGTAAAAGATGTCTTTCAATAGTTGCTCTGTTAATAGCTAGAGTTTTTCATGCTTTCCATATTTTTCTCCTGTTAAAACCATRGAGAACTGGATGTGCTGGACATTGGCAAGTTTGAGGAAAGTTTTTATTTTTTTCCCTATATTTCCCCAAACTCAAACTTCTTGGTATGAAAGGAATGTCTTCTGCATTCTAAGTATTTCAAAGGTTAAAAGCAAGGCAGCCAATTTATAATTAAAAGATTGAACTACACATAGTTACAGGATTTTTAAAACATACTTTGCATCTAGCTAACATCAGAGCCAAATGTCATAATTGCTTTTTATTCTTGTTTTCAGTTTCTTTCTTTTTTTCTTATGTATTTTTTTTTTCTCTTGCCTCTACTGTTTTGTTTGCGCTTCCAGTCTCTTCAGGAAATATTTTCCTACATAATATATTTTGTTATATCTACCATTCCCTTATATTCTTCATTATGCAACCACGTGCCTGTCCCTAAATGAAAATTACTGAAAGCTGAATGTTTTTTTTTTCTTCCTTACAGAGGAATTTGAAAAATATTGTGATGACATAGCAAATACTGCTGCATGGGGTGGGCAGCTGGAAGTAAGTACTGTATTGTCAGCTTCTAATTGTGAAATTCGGAAGTGAGTGGTTATATCTTCAAAAATGACTTAAAAAATAAAAAGAGACTGTATGGAAGATATTCAGAGCTTATGAAGAATTTTCTCCAGTAGTTATAAATTGCATCTCAGTAACCTCTGTTGATGGTTCCCTGCTGTTTTGGTGTTTTAAAAACTACTGAAGTCTTTAACTTGCCTCTTGCCAGTGTCACTAGAAATGCTGACAGGAGGAAGAACTAAGGAGAAAGGAACCCAAGGAGGAACTAAGGGGAAAGTATTTTATCGGGGCTTAGTTGCTATTTTATGCTGACTTAGATGGCAGCAAAGCTGGCTGGAGTGGAATAAAGATCGATTTTTGTGGTACAGAATGATATTTGAGCTTTAGAAAATACATAGTTCTGTATAGCTTAGTTTAATTTTGCTTCATATTCTTATGTAAGAGTACTGACACTAGCATGATGTTACTTTTTTCAATAAGAATGATTAATGCAGCCCATTTTTAATTGAAGTTAAAATATAAACCATTTTGATTAGTTTTAAGTCTTTTTTTTTTATGCTACTACTTCAAACTTTGTGCACAATCTCATATGTTCATTTAAAGGAAATGTCATGCTTTCTTCCCCCCACCACATGCTCTCCCACCTTGGATTTGATCTTATTTATCCAATTGCTTTTAATCTTTGAAGCTAAGGGCTTTGTCGCACATCTTGCAAACGCCTATTGAAGTAGTGCAGATGGATTCTCCTCCCATTATTGTCGGTGAAGAATATTCAGGCAAACCAATAACACTTGTGTAAGTATATAATGTTATTCCCCCCTGAAACTAATTTATTCATATAGAAGAGGACTGATCTGCCTTTTTGTTTTATGTTGCATACCAGACRTTGAAAAGCTGCTTCAGTAATGACCTTGCAGATCAGAAGTGGTGTTTRTGATTTCACACTGAAAAATGCTGTAATTAACCTTCTTAAAATGTTAATATTTAGTTTGACTGATACAAAGTTCAGTCACCACTTTATTAGTTTTATTTGTATACTATATGCTTACATGCATATGCATATGTGTATATGTGATGTATATTACAATGCTATTGGACCTGTTAGATTATTACTATGCTAGATAATTAATTAATAGGTGTGCAAAGCAGCAGAAAATGTTTCTATTCAAAACCTATCTTCCTGGCATAGAATAATATACCAGAATTTAAAAACCTATATCTTTCTTTGCTAAAGTTTGAATTTATTTAAGCTAAGAAATGTTAATGTTTGTGCAGTATAATTTTTGTTAAACATTTTTTTTTTTTGTTAAACATTAAATTTTTCTTTTTAGGTATATGAGACATGCCTATGGATTAGGAGAGCATTACAATTCTGTAAAACTTCTAACAGAAAATGCTACAGAAAATGGCAGCTAGCATAAAAAGTCCGAAGTCCACATGGACAACAGTTGCGTCTTCATCTGACTCTGGACAACTCTCAAACAGACTGGAAAGTAAAGCTACCTGGAATGTGTTAAAAATGAAAAAGAGTTGACTATAAGTTAGAAATAAGCCTAGATTTTAAAAGCAACAAAACAAGAGTGTTGAACTTGTTGGTATTAATCATGTTTAGAAAATGTTCTCTAAAATGCTGGCTGTGTTGATAAGAACATTTTGGTAAACTTCATCCCGTGACAGAGTGAAAATACTCAGCAGTAAATGTTTTGGTTAATATGCATTTTTACTAAAGAATTAAGGTTTGAAGAGTCCTGCTACATTGCTTTTGATAGATTTTGATGACTATGGGAGACTTGAGGCCTTCAAAATAACTGATGCTTCTCTCTGCACTGGTGGAATGTCCCYTACAGTGTTTCTTTAGTCCCATAGGCTCTGGCTTTCATACTGTAGCAAGGATCCCCTTTGGGCAGGGAARAGCTGAAGACCAATTCAGCTGACCAGTTCAGTACTGAATATAGTACTTGGCTGAGTAATCACAAACRTAATGTTACTTTATGGCCTTTCCTCCAAGCTTTTAATGAGATTTGGGGACTTGTTTTGCAGCTCTCAGTAGGAGCTGAACTCTTGATGCTCTTTCTACAGAGTTAGAGRAAGAGCAGTGCTGTTTAATGCCGTGACATACAGTCATCATGTGAGTTAACTGTACTGTTCATCCTTCATAATCTTTCATCTGTGGGCCATCTGTACCCTTTCTGTGCTTGGATKGCACAGAGAGCTTACCCAACAAAGCACTCCAGCTTGCTCAGCTCGGGTAGTGAACTCGACTCAATGTTCTGTTACAGACCGGCTGGTCTGTGCATCAAGGTGCTCTGTTTCATAATGCTTAAAACAACTGGTTGCGTACAGATGGAAAAACAAAACAAACAAAAAAAGAAAAACACTTTTTTTTTGTCTGCAACTTTAAAAGCAATCTGCAGGAAAATTAAGTTGATTTCCATTGCTCCTTTTGGTGTCCAAAGAAGATTTGAAGGATTTTTAACTCTGTATGACTTCTCTCTGCATTAGAAATTGAGATTTTGTTTTGTCTTGGAAATAATTATAAATATTATTCTAAAAGTGGCAGTATACTGAAGCCAAAGTTGTCATGCAATCAGTTATTTATTAATGACCGTGACTTTTAAGAAAGCCTTAGTGAAAAACTGCATGGTTTTGTTTTTCTGCTGATGAAGAGATTTGGGGAAAAGTAGTTCCTTCAAACTTCGACGCCTCTGACCTGAGTCTTCATCTTGTTATTTTTCAGTAAAGCTAGGCAGCAGTTGGGCATTCCTGGGACTTCTGAATTAAAATATGATATTACCTCAAAATTGTTTTTAAAATAAGTATTCACTGCATAGATCAGACAGATTGTCTAATTTAAAGCACTTTGAAAAAGAGGAAAAATCACAGAAAGTGTGATTATGAATTGAAGTGATGCCCATCAAAAAAAATCAAGTATTAACTAGAGCTAGAGTTTGATGTGTTCTCATATGACATCAGATATGACATATTTGATGCAGTATAGCAAACGGCTGTATTTATAGCAATTTGATGAATCAGGTTTATTATCTTGATTGTGTGAAACACTGTTTTTGAGTGCAAACTCAAAAGTTGATACCTTTACTCTGTTACGAATTGCCTATAAAGAATCAATAAAAATATTTTTCTCAGTGTTGCTTAAAACTGTATGATAGGAAATGCAAATTCTGCTTTCTGTAGATTCCTCAAGGAAAGAAAAATCACTTTGCAGAGTTTTCTTTCTTGTTTGATTAACTGAGGGAAAAGAGGCTGGAACTTTGGCATGTCTGCACCAACGGTTTGTCCTATTGAAGATGTTTACAGTTTGTGTAAAACAAGAGAATGTTTTGATATGATGAGCAGAACATCCTTGCTCATGTATGCAATTTGCCAAAAATAATAAATTGTTTTTAGTGGCAAATTTTCTTGCTGTTGCATTTAATTTTGTACTTAGATTTTAACCTTATTCAATTATATCTATGTCCACACACAAAGGGGAAGTGTATGCACTGAAATAATGAAATAGAAAACAGAAGGAGACTTTACAGTCTCCTCGGACAATCTGTTCCAGTGCTGTCACCCTTGCAGTCAAGACGTTTTTGCTCAGATTCAGGCAGAGTATCCTGTTGGTGGCTGTTGCCCCTTTTCCAGTCTCTGGACACCACTGAAGAGAGTCCCACCCTATGCTCCTGACACCTTCTCTCAAGGTATTTATACCCTTTGGTAAGATCCCCTCTCAACCTTCTCTTCTTTAGACTAAGCAGGCTCAGCCTCTCCTCCTAGGAGAGGTGCTCCAATCCCCTGATCCTCTTTGTAGCCCTATGCTGGACTCTCTCCAGTAGCTCCACCTGCCTCTTGTATGGGGGAATGTGGAACTGGGCATGGTCTTGCAGATGTGGCCTCCCCAGGGCTCAGTAGAAGGGAAGGATCACCCTTCCCTTCTGGCAATGCTGTTCCTCATGCACCTCAGGATCGCCTTGGCCTTGGCCACAAGGGCACATTGCTGGCTCATGGTCACCTTGGTCACCAGGAGTCCCAGGTCCTGTGTAGCGCTGCTCTCCTGAAGATGAAGCTGGGATTATTCCTCCCTAGGTGYAGGAGTCTCTACTTCCTTTTGCTTGTTGAACTTCACAGGACTCCTCTCCGCCCATCTCTCCAGCCTGTCCAGGCCTCTGCATGGCAGCAGAGCCCTCTGGGGTGTCAACCACTCCTCCCAGTTTTGTACCATGAGCAACCTTGCTGAGGGTGTCCTCTTCCTCCGTGCAGGGCGCTGAGGAGCAAGTTGAACAGAGTTGGACCAAGTTTTAACCCCCTGAGACACGACGGTAGCTACAGGCCTCCAAAGGAACCGATCCTCACAGCTCTGCCCTTCAGCCACCGCTCCCTGCCCCTTGCTCTGTGCTCACCCGGTCTGTGCTGTTGGTCCTTCTCACGTTTCCATGAGTGTCACCTCTGTGTGTTACCTGCTGGGGGTGACACATGCAGGCACCAACTGTCCCATCCCTGTGGCTCCCCATCAGTGTCTTAAATGTGGAACGTCAGCAATATTCGATGGCAGTGATGATCCACATTTTTTTGATGCCATGCTTTCAATAATTACCCTACTTTGTATCGCATAGGAAAACAAATATTTTCAAAATGTGCTTACCGAATTGCATAATTCTCAACACAGGTATCTTTTCTTGAGAAATGMTTGCTTTATTGACAAGAACTATAGAAACTTTTAGTTTTCAAGCTGTTATTTTTACAATCAATTCAWGTCATGATTTTCTGTTTAGCTATACCTGAACAAAATAGTGTCAAAAATATTATTTAGTGTCTTTATTCTGGCACTGTATTAACACAGCATTCAAACTTTATATTGTATTTCTCTGGTTATGACATCAGTTTGATAAAACATGCTTTTATAGAGAAAATATGTTTAAGCAAAGCAAGGATATGCTTCCACTTAATCCTTTTTGTCAAGCTAGTTCCAGTCACTCCTCTTCTATCATTGCAAACCTAACCAGAGTCTTGTCTGTTTTGCCTGYATAAAAGCAGGCAAGACACAGGACACATCTCCATGTGCTGTGTATGGCACTTCTGGAGTTTCATGGACTTTGAGGCTTTATTCCTCTTGCATACACCTGTATATCCTGAAAGTAAAGAGAAAACAGCTCTTAAAATAAAAGTCTTGGTAAAAAAACATTTTTGACTTCTTTTTTTTTCCCCCACCTTTAAGTGTTTGGACTTTTATGCAGCCTTCTGTAAAAAAAACAGATCTGCAGAAAAGTGTTTTAATAATTCATGTCTACTTTGCATCATAAATAGTTTCAATCTTTCATTAGCTGCAGGAAATCTTCTAAAGAAATAAAGAAATGATTTCTTTCTCCCAAAGAAATAGTATAAAATGTAATAAAATAGATTCTTTACACATATTTGTACAAAGCTCCTCTGTTCTATATTATAATSTGTCAGTATAGTTCACAGTTCATAACACAACCTCAGCGCTCAAAATTCTGAGTATGAATTTTGCTTATGTAAAAACGTGAGCCCTAGCATAGAGAAGCTGAATTTGAATACTGGGTATAATGAGCTAGTGAATTAAGAAGAAAGTTAGATGTTCAAAATGCTATGTTTTCTATTAAAAATAAAGGAAGTAAAATGTTTGAGAGCTATATGTGTTTGGGGAAAGATCAAGAGTTAAAAAAAAGGTAAGTATAAATATAGTAATATATATTAATGACTAGGAATGCATTTCTCAATAAGTCTATTAGAAAAAATTAATACTTCTCAGTCTGGACAACAGCAGGCTTAAATGTCTTCCACCCAAAATAAACAAATAAATTTAATTATGATGCAGTTAAGTCTACATCTCTGCAATTTCTAATAATGTGCGTATTACATCAAAATACAGTCTTTACAAGTATTGCATGTATCATTTACCCACACACAACAGGTGGTAAAAAACTGCTGCTTTGRAAGGTTGGGAAAATTCATGCCACTTTTCAGCATACAGCTAAGCGTGAAGAAATAAAATCTAAGCACTTCAGTGGAGCAGACAATCATTGAAAAATAATTGCATTTTCACATTTTCATCTGATTTTCCTTTTGCCCTCATGTCCTACTTTGAATTTTTTTGAATTTAAACTGGTTAATTACTAATCAGGGTTTCAGTATGTGTCAAAATGGAAAAAATTAAGTGTTGAAGCCTTTATACTAATAATTTTATAATAAATAGGAAAAACTATATTGCTGAGAGTGGTGCTGTCTTAGAGAAAAGTTTTTGAGAGCACCTTTGAGACTAAATATTTCATGTGTCCATAAATCAAGTAGATTAAGCCACAGTTGAAATACAAGGAAGAGACGAATTTGCTTCACAGCAGCTTGTGGTAAAATATGTTGGTAGGGGCACTTTTTTTTGCCTCCTGTCAATGCTATGTCATCCTGCTTTTTAGCTATTGATTTTTAGGGCTGTTTTAGGACGACTTGCAGAGTTTACGGTTTATGAAGCTTTATCTATGCTGGTGGAGCAGCAGGTCCCAGGAAACAAAATAGTCACATTTCAGATATAAGCAGACCATATCTGYTGCCACTGTCTCAAAGAGAAAGGGATGCCAGCAGGAATGCGCTTGGACAGGTTAATAATGTGGGATGGATCCTGTCTGCTACGGGATGTTGGTGTGTAATCCCATTTTGCTGGTGAAGCCTTCCTAACTAAACGTGCTGCCAGCAGATGGGGCAGTGGCTCTGCCTCTTGGGGATGGTTTGGGGCCCTGGATTTGACCAGCTCTCCATGCTGGCCCCTTCCCCAGCTCTATTGACTAGTTGTCTTAAACTTCAGGGATTCCCTGAGGTGAAGTTGAGTGAGGGGCGATAGGCAGCTCTTATACAGATGGTGTGGGAGGTTTTAGGGCACATGACATGTGCATGTTGCAAATGTCCTGCTCAGACGTCTGCACACCAGGAGTGTCCTCAGGGAGTAACATCCCTGAAGGAAGGAGGATGTCACTCCTTCCCTTGCAAAAGGAGCAGATGTTGAGCACTGCAGGGACACCCTGGAGGCTGTGGTGAGATGACATGTCAGAACGTCCTACCTGCGCTCTCTGAGCAGGCTAGAAGACAAACRTCCAGGCTATCATCATCTTCTGGTCCATGAAGTTGTAAGCACTTTTTATTCTCAGCTGTTAAAGACATGCTACCCTGCTCTATTCCCAGCCAATCTCCTTTGATATATTTGTTAATGACAAGCAGACCATGTTCACTATTTAATCTGTTTAAGTAGCAGAGCAGACTTGGAAAGAACATGTGAAATATAGAAGGCATCTTCTCTGCTTTCTTTGGCTCCAGTGAGAACACTAATCCACAAATTCCTTTGTTTTGAGAGTCTTCAATGAAATCAACCAGACAGGTTATGATTAATCACTATGCACATATGGCCTGAGTACTTTTAAATACAATTAACATCCTTAGCAACCGCCTCCATATGTTGTAAGCATGTATATCACAAAAAAAGTATTGTTTACTTACAAAAATATCTTGAGGAAAATTCCAAATAAACTGACACAAGCTGTATGTTCCTGATTAAATAGTCAGAGGTGTTGACTGAAAAGCATTATCCTCCTTCCAGACTAGAAAAATCGGAGTGTGTAAGCTTAAATAGTAACCAGGTGTAAAATACTTATTGGGAGCTACATTTCCTGTAAAGTCTCTCTGAATTTCCTGGGACCTACAAGGGTCTTGTCATGATAGCTGAAGTAACGTTATGTGTGAGGAAACTGAGGACACCCTTCTAGAAAAAATGTTAAGGGATCTTCTAGATATGAGTTGTGCTGGCTTATTTTTTAAAGCTTTTTTTTGTCTTAGGGAAATATTTGAGCAATATATATATGTGATGATTGCATAAGTCATGCAAACACACTTTAAAAGTTGCATTCTGGAATGAATTTAAGGACTTTTAAGGAAGGTGAGGACCTGGAGTTTTTAAATCAATCTAGTAATTCTTCTTTATACATATTACATAATACTCAAAATAGAATAAAATTTCAACAGTACAAATAGACAAGTAGACAACAGTACAAATAGACAATTTTCAGAAGACTACAGTTACGTCTCATTTATATCTTATTCCATATAGTTAGATTTACTTTTGGAGGTGTTTGCTTACATGCAGAAAAATTGTCTGCTGCCACCAGAGCT